AGACAAAGTTCTTGTCCTTTTAAAAAGGCACAGCTGTGCTCATTCTATGGCTAACAAATCTTTTTCTTTGAAGTGGAACAGTGAAGTGAAATTGGTTAAGTTTATGAAGAAAGATTTAAGTGGTAGGAATATTAAGAATGTGTTCAAATATTAATTTCATAGTGTCAGTATTTAAAATCAAGTTGCCAATTTGAATTAATACTTTGCAATCTCTGTAGACTTGTTTGCATCCAATCAGGAAAACCAGATGTAATGCACTCAGCATGTCTTAATACAGCAGTGAAATCCTATACATATACAAGCTTGGAGACAAGAGGAAAAAAATAGATTTGGGAAGCTTAAAGTATGTTCGGACAGGAAGAAGGAAGGGAGAAACACCTGGACTTTAAGCCTTATGTCCTACCATAAATTTCAGCATGAAAGCAAAAGCTGGGAAAAAATACTGGCAGACTTACAACAGTGCTCTGATGTCACCTCTTGAAGGTTTTTGAGTTATTTACTTTGAGAAGAACATCTTTTAAAAATCATGTCAGGTAGGCTGTTTACTGAAGCCCCTTGGATTGCTGTTTTAATAATTTTAAGGTAACCAGAAATTTGTATTTTGATGAAAACTTCAAGCCACAAGAATCAGATTATTTCCGCAGGGAACAATGAAGCCTACATCACAGAAGTATCATTATTGGGAGACTTCACAGAAGATTCAATAAACAGGTAACTTTTTAGTGGTTCATGGGGAAAATAGGCTATGGTCTACTAAGGAGCCAATGAAAACTTCATATTAAAATAACAGTAAAAATCTTATCTGCAGTCTCAAATTGTCTAGTGCTTTAGTATGAAAAGCCCAGCTATCATAATTTTTATTTCATGTTTTACTAATCATTTCCCTTTCCACATCTGATCTCTAGTATTCTGGCAATCTAACTTCTTTCTCTCACATTATCTTATGGTTTAAACTATTCAATTCCTACAATGATTTCCCTATATGACAATAAAAAACATTGTTGCCATATTTCCTATGAGTTTCTGACTTCCTAAAATGAAATTTAATTTTGGTTTTCTGCACAAAATTTTAAAAGGATACTAATATCCTCATGTCATTTTCTGTGAGGCTAAATGACTTCAGAAATACATCTAAAATGTATTTGAGGAGCAAGGAAATTAAAGAACTTCAATCAAGAGATAATGCCTTAAATGGGATTAAAGGATTGAAGTCTAAAACATTAACCACAATTTATAGAACTTTGATGGGATTGTAGAACATGCTGGAACATATTTTTCAGGTAAATATAACATTTGTTGATGTAAACCAATAGCAACCATGAATTATTGTGGATATTAAGCACTGTCAGGTGATCTGCAGTGTCTACCCATTTTTCTTCCTCTGTGGTAAACGTGAAGAAGTAACCCTTCTAACCTAAAAACATATTTTTCATTCAGAGCTAAGTTACTTTCTACTATTAATTACAGAATTGCTGATATGCTGTAGGGTAGTTTCTTTTACTTTAATACCTCCTCCTGAAACATCTGATGTGGGACAATTCCAAAGTGTCTTCAAAAAGTTGTAACAGTTCAAAAACTCCAAATGAAGAGTGAACTAATTCCTCCTCATGTCATACCTGGGAGGAATGAGGAAGTCTCAGAAAGAGAGAGACGTAATCCCTCATAAGCGTATAAAAATATATCAAATAACGTTCATCAATTTATTTTTGGACACTTTGTCTAGATTTAATGTATTTGGTTTTATATTATAGAGCATGGAACTGGTTTTGAACATCTGATTTTATTACAAGACAAAAGGTGATTCATCAATTTAATTCAGGGGTTGCCAAAACTTTATAATCACGGAGAGATGCTACAAGTGGGCAGCTACACAGATGGTGCTGAGAAAAGAATACTGGTGTCTGCAAATGGTACTCTGCAAGAGGTAAAAGGAAGTAATGTCCTGTGGGAAAGAATGGGAAAACAATTCCCAGAATTGGCTTTGTCCATCTAACATGATTAGTTTCAAAATAGGTACGATCTTTAAAAAATCTTTTTGTTAAGTCAAAAAAAAACCCCTAAGAAACTGAGCCCAACAAGGTTTTGTTGAATGACATAGAAGACCAAATAGAAAATGCACGTATTAAATCTGTAGAAACACTTTTAATTAGAATGGATAGCAAGCATTTTGAAAAAGAATCAGAATGCAAAAATATTTTTCAAAACTGTAGAGATAGTCAAGATCAGTTATTAAATTTCACTTGAAACAGATCGGTACTTTGAGGAAACAGACTGCACAAATTAATACACTTATTATATTGCAGATAAAACCAATTAGGAAAGGACTTCAAGCACATTGGAGAACAGGATTAGAATTCAAAGTGAACTTTACAAACTGGACATACAGTCTAGGATAAAAAGGACACTATCCAGTAAGAATAATGTTAAGTACTACACTGGGCTGAAATAATGAACTGCATAAATGCCACCATGGGAATCTTAAGGCCAAAGTAAAATTTAGGAAAGGCTTTAAGAATTGTGGCATATTACAATATTGCCAGAAAGTACATGGGAAGACACTGGAAATAATCCCTGCATTCTTGTCAGCTGTTAAGGCTTCTGCTGGCATACAATTTTGGAATTTGCAGATCTAGAAAGATATATGTAAACTAAAAAGTGCCCAGAAGAAACCAGAAAGAATCATCATAGGCTTAGAAAACATGTCCTTAGAGGCAAGGTTGAAAGAATTCTTTTAGTTTCATCTACAAAAGCAGGTTTATGAGAAAACATAGCAGTAGTTTTCCAGCTAAAATCAAATGTTACAAAGAGGATAGGGATAACAACCTCTCCATAGTTGCAGTTAGGAAGAATGATAGGAAATAAAATTTTCAGCAAAAATATTTCAGATAGTAGTAAAAAAATGTAATCAGAAGGACACAAAAACACTAAGGAAAACAAGCCACACATTCTACAGTGGACTATTTTAAAAAACTTATTAAAAAAGAATGAGGGGCAAATACTGGATACAGATTGTCTGACTAAACTTAATCCCATTTTTAGACATGGATGCCTTCTTGATATCCCTTTACAACTACTTGTTATGATACTAAGATTTTGCTAGTATTTTTCCAAGGGCAATGTATCCATTATTTTCAATCCTAATACTAAAAATGTGATGCTGCACCCATGCATCATGGAAGTGACTTCATTGTTACAGATTCTAAACATCCTTTTGTTCATTACTTTGTTTTTTGTCTTCTGCTGTTGGACATTCTGTGGACACATTTCCAAACTTCTCCTAATCTCATCATAGTTAAAATCTTCCCATTTGAAAACTTTGAGGGGAAAAACTTCAGAAAAAATCCTTAGAATTAGCAATGCTGCATATCTAATAAAGTACTCTGTAAAATCCATATCCTGTTACTTAATAGGTGAAGCATAACTGAACATTTTTGTTATCTGAGAAACCACAAATGAAGATATTTCAATTATGGATCTTTTATAATCAACCATATAATACACAGTACCAATCTTTTTCCCTGATACCTACAGATTAACTCTATTTGAGTGGAATAACGTCCCTTAATGAGGCATGCATTCAAAACCTACTCTATTTCTGACATAATATTTAGACCTAGAAGTAGCACGAATACATATGCAAGACACATACAAAAGACATATATAATGTGTGTGTATATAGTACATCTTCTACAATTAATAGACATGTTTTATATAAGAAAGTAGAGAGTTTATCTTGATTTAGAAAAAGATTGATTTAAAGGTGAATGACCTCACATTCATTTCTCCCAGATTATTTCTAGTTCATCATCATCGCTGTTGGAAGAAATAAGACGGGTCATAAATTATTTCACTTTAGCTATCTTTTGATATAAATCTTGCCTTTTCCTTGATGGTAGAAATATATTCCACTGGTATGCTTTACCTTGATTGGAAATTATCAAGTAGGAAGTTGCATTTAGAACATGTAGAATTATGAAATTATGAAATCAGATACTTCTCTGAGCAATTCTCATTCTCAGCTCCTAGATTAAAAATCAAGATACAGCATTCTTATTACAACCCTCACTAACATTTTTTACAGGGGAAAAAGTGTTTCAAGCTGTGGAGTATATTAGTCATATCCTGGCTGTAAGAGTATTTGCTATGGGAAGACTGATTTGCGCAATTAATAATTATCAGCAATGGAAAGATCTGTTCTGCCTCTGTAGGAAAGTCTTCTGAAGGACAAGTCTGACAAAAATCTGTGAAAGGTCATGTGAAACCTTATCCACAATACAATAAAAAGTAGCAACACATACAGATGTGGAGAGAAAGTATGATCCAAAATTCATAGGCTACAGAGGTCAAACAATCATTTGACAGAAATAATGCACAGATTTTCCACACATTTATCAAAAGAAAATGAGGGTTTTCAGAATCAGTGATGCTTCTTGAACTATTAAAGACTGATAGTAAGATGACAGTTAACACCAGTGGTTATAATGTATTACGACTCAGCTAAATGCAATAAACAATCAGATAGAAGTTATATGTGTCTGTTCACATGTCATCAAGGTACAATGTATTCCATTATTTTTGTTTATTGTCTTCAGATTTATAGAAGTCAGGTATGGAAGGGCAAATGTAAACATCTCGTCATGATTCTGCAGTGAACATAAAGAAAAGCTATATTTTAACATTATAATATATTATGAAAAAAATATAAATTTTGCACTCATTAACCCTGCAAGGTATTCTGGTAAAGAGTGCATGCACATCACAAGAAGGTTGTGAAATAAAAACTAACAATTTTCATCTACTTGCTTCCACAGAGATTCTCCAAATCAAACTCAGAGGAGTAATCTGGTCTTTCATTTGTCATCATATCACCTCCCTGTAGTCTTCTATTTCTCTGCCAAGTAGCATTCCACAAATGGATAGCTTTCTGGGGGTCAAATTTTTTGATATCTGGAGAGTTCATCTGAATGATCATAAGATCCGTCATACTTTCAGACCTTAGTTTAGAGTGCAAATGCTTCATGGTGGGTTTCATTTGACTGAAGCCTCGCTCTGTTTCAGCTGAGCTTGCTGGCAGAGTTAGGATCAAATCTACCAATGTCAGGATGTTGGGATACTTCTTTGAATAATCTGAGTTCACTGAATCCCATGTCAAGGTCTGGATGTTCTGAAATCTAAAAAGCATGATAAGAAGTATGATTATAACTATCACTAAATGTATTTCCATAATCCTTTTGAGTAAATCAATAAACAGACACAAATGCAGTTTTCTTATTACCTGTTATACAGCTCTAATTTCAACATGCTCCATTCAGTTTCTACTTCACCTATTTTCACACTAGCAGCTTCTAGTATGACTTCATAATGTTTAGTCAAGACAGACACTTCCTTTTCACCAAATTCTATTTCAGAGGCAAAACAGGCAAAATAAAAAAATTTTTATGCTTTTAAAAAATTTAGAAGGTGCACTTCAAGTAGCCACTATCACAGTTTTATACCTTGTTTCATTTTGTCAGGCCATAGTTTAAAACTTCCAATAGTAGTTGCTCTTAAAACATCTTGACTTGCATCACAAAAACAATCATGTAGCCTCTTCACCAGATTACTTAGTACTTTGGTTCGTACTGCTGAAATATTTCCATTTCCAACAAGCTGGTAACCGTGAAAGTGCTGAATGGTCTCCATCATGCGTTCCTTTGGACCAGCTCTGAAAGATACAGAATACAAAACAATATATAGTATTCTTTTATTATATTCTAAGAGATCATGATTAAGTTGTTAGAAATGCCAGACCTCGTGTGATACATGTGGAGTGTTTCCAGTGTGGACTGCACCGTTGCAAATATGTCTGCAACGGATGAGTTGTGATCCAGAGTAACACGTGACAGAATGTTGAGGACATTGATGACATCCAACAAGAAGTGAGAAAACTTGACTATCTCCATTCTCAGAAGGAGGTGTAAAAGGCCTTTGACTTTTTGATGGTTTGAGGCTCTTGAATCTCTTTCAATCTGAAAATCAATATAAAAAAAAGAAAGCATCAGGTACATGGACCAAAATTAGCCATAGCAATTAATTTCTCCTGAAGTTACATCCAAATTTTAAATCATTTACCTTACTCAGATGTAGAACAATTGCAGGATAACCTTTAAGGAGAATTTGTAGAGCTGTTTGTAGACGAGGAAGCCACTGGGAGCCTCCAATGCGAGAAGGAATAGCGGGGCGTAACTTAATGGCTTCATATGTGGCTTTGAGATTATTCTTATTTAGAGGTGAGTTATGATAAAAGTAATACATATTTCTCAAGACATTGCTTAAGATGTTGTACAGCTGAATATTTTTCAGCACTCCTTTGTAAGCCAGCTTCAGGCGGTGGGCAAAACAATGCACAGTCTGTATACAAGGCTGAATTTCCCTCAGAAGTTTAGCTACCCCACTGTTTTCTCCTAACATGACATCTGTCCCATCGCTTCCAAACCCAACTAATTTTCTTGACCAGACATGGCTTGCCAGACTGAGCTGAAGATTTACTTGTAATGTTTCCTCAATTGCATTTTTTATAGTTGAAGCGTCAGTTTTGTGAACAGGTTGAACACCAACAATCTGGCAATTGACTTTTCCTTCATTTGCAAAGCGTACGTAGACAACTGCAGCTGCTTTGAGTATGCTGTCTGTGACTCCATCACTAATAACAGAAAAGAATTTACATTTCTCCAGTTTCTCTTTCAAAGCTCTTCTTTCTACCTCAGCAATAAAGTGTACAAACATTCTTGCTGACTTGTCATTTCTAAATACAGAACCAATATCCACTCCTTTCATATCATCTAGTTTGCACATCCAGTCAAGGTCAGTAAAGGGACGACCAGATTTAGCAATCGCATGGCATGTTCTAAAAATATTTTCTACTCTACCTAATGTTATGGAGTTCATGCTCTTCAACATCTGCTCAGCAGAAGTTGCATCTGGTGAAGCAGTACTAGCAGCTTCCACACAGGTAGCCCAGGCATGAGCCTCACTACTCTGGTGTGTATTTATAAATTCCAGTTTGAAGTCATCAGTGCCAGAACAAAAATTATGACTGTTTTCCCCCAAATCCACATTATGCTTACGACATGGTGCACAAAACATTATTCCCCTTTCATCATCGTATTTTAACCAGGAGTATTTTGTTAGCCAAATTTTTGGAAACTGGCGATTCTACCAACTTCTCTCTTGCTAGAAGAATTGGTCTTGCTTTTAAATTGCTTCAGTGCTCTTATTGCTATAATTTAAAAAGAAACAACTAAATATAAAAGTTTTTTATTTCATAAATTATCAATTGTATTTTTTCTTTTTTTGTCCACATTAATTTTGTTAATTTGGGACTAGACTGTCACTTGAAATAAACAGCCATAAAAGAGAACAAGTAAAGCTGAGATCTACTCTTAAATCACTTGGAGGCTACCCAGGACCCTTGTAAGAAATGGTCAGTTTGACTCCAATTTCCTTTTGACTAGCAGAAGTTAATCAGAGTATGCAACCAGTAAAGCGCAGCAGCATCAATGCCACTTTTGAAATTGAGAAAAACAGAGTTAGGGAGTGGGATTCAGAATGGCCTTTCAGGCAGAATGTCTCCAGAAGATACTACTGAAGTCACAAACCTACTATGATGCCCATTACACCTGACATTAACTGAGAAGTTAACTTGGAGCAAGTCCATAAATTCATAATCAAATACCTGTCACAGAATGCACAAGACGTTCTATAGCATATTTAGCTGACCTGATCTTCTTAAAATATTTTTATCTGCAGAATGATTTCATTACTGCTTTGAGAAAGAGGACTTGTATAAGCTTCATATTGTGTTCTCAAAATGGAAACATTCGTAAAGCATTGAGGTTGTTCTCAATATTATTTTCCCAAATGTTCTCAAGATGGTCACTCTTACATTTTGTAGGAGCAAATGCCATAAGCTGACATTTTTGAAAATTCTGTTACAGCTCATGAATCTCCTACTTTCGGCAAGTAATTTCTAAAATTCTTTTAGTACACTGTTGCCATAATGTCATGACTTTGAAAAGAAAGCAGTCAAATAATGAAGACAAATTCCATACAGAACCGAGGCAATAAAACTAGAAATCTATCAATTGGGAAAAAGCAGAAATAAAGCACCAAGGAAATGACCTGAGAACAATCTGACTCCCTACCTTCCTTATTGTGATGTGTACTTCAAGAGGCAAAATTAATGATTACATTAAGCTAATCATAGAAAGGAATGCCATTTCTGATTCTTCAAAAGGTGTTAAGAAAAAGAGTCTTTGCACCCCACTCTTTTCTATTTTACAAGAAGGGGCAAATTTTCATACATGCATTATACATTTTGTGAGAACTGTTTATTCCTATTGTCACAGAAATGACAGTTTGTCTGCTCCATTCTATTCTGAGCATCCTGAAGGGCTGTAATATTAAAAAATGTTAGGAACATGGAGTTTAAATACATTTTACATTTCTATTATGAGCGATTCTGTTAAAGAACTTTAAATCTGAGGCAGCAGCTGTGGTCCAAACAAACAGCAAAAACAACTAGACCACATAAGCTTTTTCTGACATGTGCCCAAGTACCATATCCAGGACCAAAAAGAGAGGAGGAGAAGCATTCTTAAGATACAGCAAAGATTAAAAACATTCCCTAACATTAGGCAGCCAAAAAACTGCAAGAAAAAGTGAAAAAGAGATGGGGGGCAGGACTAATGGATCTACAATGGCAGAAGTCAGAGGGTGGAAGGGACAAAATTGTTATAACACCGCTGTAGTGCCTACTACTTCTTGAGATGTATGGGCACCTGTAGAAATTTGCTGTTGATTAGAAAAAAGGGGATCAGAGTAGATTCTGTGAGCCACTGTCAGGGATAAGATTCCCTGTAATGTGGACCTTCAATGTTACCAACGCTTTTCAAGGTTTGAATTTTTTTATTTCAAAATGTGAGGGTTTAAACTCTCAGAAAAATATGTTTGTGACATCATGTGTTTCTAAGTGATTAGTTGTATGTGTCTTTAGAAAGACAGCATATCCTATAGTGTGATAGAACAGTAAGTATATAGCCAAGAGGCATGAATCATCAGATCAGCTCTATAACCCATCTAAACTACGATCATACTCATTATAAATGTTCCCTCTAGTATATTCTTACCATAGTTACCTAAGGAAGGTTATGCAGTTGTGTTGCCCATGTATCTCTACATCAATTTATCTGTCTGCCAGTTCTCCCTCACTGCTAATTTTAGAATGGCCAATTTGAACCAAGTTTGTTAGCAGGGTAGAGTTATGAAGGTCCTATAAATTTCTTTCAGATCTGTTCCAAGGTACAGGAGAAAAATCCTTGTAACATTCCCAATGAGGAAAAAGTGGGGAGATTACCAGATTTTATCCACTCTCTGGCCAAGAGGTGTAAGTCAGCCTAAACTCAGTTCCAGACCACACACAGCATCCAGCGCATCCTAGCCATAGCTGTGTAAGCAAAACATGTAGGTAAGATGACGTGGAAGACAACAGTTGGTGGTTTTGGTTTTTTTAAAATGAGGCTAACAGACATGAAAAGAAACAGGAGGGGGCCCAGTGTGAGGAAACTGGGAACATGGGAAAAGGTGGGATTTGTTGCAGTGGTACTATGGGAAGAACACAGCATACAAAAGGAAGCCAGCCTGTACTACTTATGAAGGAACCTCTTTTTCACATAAAATTTTGTCATCAATGAAAGCACAAGGAAAAATAATATGGAAAAAGCTACACAAAGTAGAATTATTTTTCATTCAAATCTTTTTAAAAGTACCATTCACTGATACACAAGGTGACATTGACAAGCATTTATATATGTTTCAATAAGCAGTGCAGGTACATAATAATCAAATGCAAAAAACTGATGAAGAAATTGAGATTATGACTGCAAGTGAAACTGAAAACAGAAAAATAAACATTCAAAAAGAAGCATTAACAACAGCAGCATATGTGTACCCTCTATCTGTACCCTGTGAAACAGGACTGTGACATTTTAAAAGGACATTCGGAATAAAGAGCATCCACCACACCCCAGTTATGAGGCACAGATATACAAAAGAGACTATTTCTTAATGATACCAGTCAGCAGAATATTTTCATACAGGCACCGTATGAAAATGTATTCCCTAAATTGAGAAACCATAGTAAAGATTCAGATTATAAATTTACACAGGCAACAAAATATGAAAAGATTGTAAACCTATACTAGAGATGAAAATCATGATAACATTTTATTCCCTCTTCACCAAATTTTACCAAAAGACTTAAACAGACTCCTATTCCCCTCCATTTTCACCAAGAAAAATGTTTCCATAGCAATTTCTGACTAGAAGTTTGGCTGATGACCTATGCAAGTTATGCACCAGAGTCTGTAGCAATGCTATAAGGGATGAATGAGTGAAATAAATCCTGAGGCTGAATTATATTCATCTACCTTTAGTAGTCTAAACACTAGTAATATGGGATACTTCTGTCCTTACATGAAAAAGACAGGAGTCTCAAAAATACAAATAATTCCCTCCAAGATACTCAGGTACTCATCACCCCCTGCAGATGATTTTCACTGTAAATATTTACTTCATTTATTCACCAATTATTACTGGTTCTTCTATGTCGTATGTGCAATCTTCACTAATTAGCAAGAACTGGAATTTTAAATTTAGAATCAAACAGGGTAAGGTATGCCTGTTGTTGCACAGATGCAGTGGGGGGGAAAAAAGAGTTCCTCTGTCATGCTGATTGGAAATCTTAATACTTGGAGATAAATATATATTCAAATGCACAGAAACATACACAAACATGTTAAATGTGCTTCATAACAGTAACTGGATACACAGATTTTTAAACACCACAGGCAAACAGTCACAGACTTCTGAAATTAAATAACATACATGATTTAATAAGAAGCATAACAGGAGGTGTAAGTGAAACTAAGTCAGTTGAATTACCAAATTTGCTATTCTCTGTAGGGAGAGGTATTGTATGTATTCTGGATCTCTGATTAAGGGCTTTATATGCCAAAAGTTTAGGCATTTGCTATCTGTATCCTTTGTCTTGTAAAAGATACTTCCTTTATGGCTAGAAATTTAATCTTTCTTATTTTTGAGTTTTGAAAAAAGCACATTGAAAAGAAATATAGTCTTAGATAAGCTAAAGGTGATGAATTTATTTCTATGCTCACATAAGGACTTTGTTCTCTATTCACATCAAAGTCAGAGTCATGAGGACTACATTTGCAAGCTCTTGAATTGTTTTTACAAAAGTGCTTGGGAAGAGAAAGCATAATCTAGACATTATTCAGGGTCAGCATATAATTCCGACTGTTCCACTCAACAAAGTACTCTATTAAAAGGAAAAATTTCATCTCAACTAGATGCTCATTTTAATTTGCCTATTTGTTCCAAATCTAGCAATACAGTAAAACTCAATTGACAAGTCTACAGTTTGAAAAGAAATAGCAATACAATTTGGTCATAGGCTGTCCTCTATGTTTTACTAGTTCACATTTTAGCAGACTATTTATAGTTTTATAAATACGCATTTTAAACATTTTTTGGACATCGGATCTATAATCTTTTTAAACCTGACTGAAATTTATTTCTGATGAATGATCAGTTCTGTAATTCAAACTGGAACGCTTCATCATGAGGAACATCACTGTGAAAAAACGAATAAAATTTAAAATTCCCCTATGTAATTCAGTTGTAAGTTGGAGAACAGAAGTCTGGGGCAGGATCTATTTTGATCTGTTCAGTAGTGCAAAACATCACCAGAATTGCATTCTCTGAAGCACCTTTAGAAGAAAATTGAGACATCGCAGATGTGTGCTGATTGAATTGACAATAGATGTGGTCATAGAAAGAATATAGTGCTAAAGGGAATCAAAGGGATGAGATCTAATAGATGGTTAGTTTAATTTTCTTGATAAGAACATAACACACCCAGAGACTGTAGAAGAGAAAAGAAAAAAAAGTTTTAGTAGCTCCATTTAAGACCTCCCACAGTTCTTCCTCTAAAAAAGCAGCAGGTTCCTAAGGCAATATATTAAAGCACTGTTAACAAATTGATCAAAGGAGTTAGTGAAATTAGCAAATACTGCAGAGCCACCTTGAGTTTGGGCAATGGCACTTGGAATAATAACAAAAAAAGAATTTAAATGTTTCCTTATCAAATGGAAGACTTTATCAGTAGGTAGGAAGGTCCAGCATAGGCTGTGTTTTTCATCCATCGGTGCTTAGAAAGGTGAGCAATGTGCTTCCATGGAGAACCAAGTGTGCAGGATAGAACAAAGTTGGCTGTGATGAATCAGCAGTTCTTTAATACTTTAAATTCCTAGGAAACACAAAACTGTTTACAATTTTTATAAGACTTCTTTTGTAAATACCAAGCAATTTTTAAGTATATTGGTAATCCCACTTTTTGCTTTCATTTTGGCAATTTTTTAAACATATCTTGAAACGACATCCTTTTGACAGTTACCAAGTACCCTGTGAGAAAACTTTACATGTTTATTTCTTCCAACATAATTTCTGCTTCATTACTCTTTGTTTTTCTTGGATTTCTAGGTAAAATTCCTCCTCATGTAATCTCCATGACGCTATGGAAAAGAAGCTCAATATTCCATTTTCAGAACAACTTTAGGAATTTTGCTATTTACATGGTACAGAAGATGGGTAGATCTATTCTATTTAGACCTGCCCTGTAGTCTATGCCTCATGTTTCTTTGTGTGGATTTCCATTACGAATGCTCAGACTGCTCAGGTGAGTAAGAACTAGAAGACTACAATGTTTGGCAGCAAATCTAGATCTGTTTAGAGGTTCTCCAAGACAGGGATTAGTTTGCTACATTTTTGTATCTCCTTTAGAACTGCTGTCCAACATTTTCACTGCCAGTGTGCTGGGTGCTTTAGCAGTTTTCCCTCTTTTGTTCAGTAACAGACTAACTACTAAGGAGGCACGTATTTTCTGTTGAGCATTCTATTGAACAAGGGAAGACAGAAGGATGTGAAAAAAATTCCTCATGTTTTAGGCAAGAAAAGATTTAACTCTTCAAGCCTCTATAATGAAGGGGAGTGGTTGCTTTAGGAAACCTGGGATGTGATCTATGTGAAAGAATGGAAGGAAGTATTTTACAGATGAATTGCACAGCTTGTGCTTCCCATCCTAATTCAGCTATCCAAAAAGGCAAATACCTTGACTTGATAATCACCAGACAGTAGAAAAATGCTGTTGCATGGTCTTTGGGACCTTATTTTAAACAGTAATTCCTTACCATTGTTCCAGAGAACATGCAACAGCATTCTTTTACTGCCTTGTGACTATTAAGTTATGTACTTTTTTGGATAGCCATACAAGTAATCTTAGGTCATTTTAATGAATATAATATTATCAAAAGGACAATATTGTAGAAAGATAAAGACTTCATTTGTCTTCTTGTTAACTATTGCAAATGTACAAGGAAAATAGTTGTTCTGTCTTAAACATGTCAAGAATATTAGAGTTTGTATTAGACAACTTTTTAAAAAATATCTTAATGAATAGATGATTTCAAACCAAAAAAAAACCCTTTTAAGTGGGATGACCAGTCAAACTGGTGTCTGTGTTTCACCCCTTTGGCACTATCTAATGATTACAAATGTGTAGATTTTTAGTTTCACATGGCATTACACATGTAATACTATCTGCTAAATTAATCTCTATAGAAGAGTTTGGAATGTTTACACACACACACACACCCATGCTCCTACACTATAGATAAGATGATACACATCTCTCTAAAGGAAAACTGTAAACATATTTCTACATAAAATGAGTTCGTGCTCAAAACATAATTGAAATTTCTCCATAAATATACATGAAAAACATTTATGAATGTAGAATTAAATTCAACTTCATTGCACCTATGTGGCCTTACTACACTGGAAGAATTGGATCCAAAATTCTAAGTACATGTTTACACATTGTATTTCACGATCTTAGTGGCAATCATACTAAAATTATAATTATAGTATGGAACACTGGTAGCAATGAAACCCTCTGCAAATAATGTGTTTAATTACTTTCCATCTCAGTTTAAAACTGCTGTACTTACATTATTTTGTAACATTTATACATCAGTAGCAAGTTTTGCAAGAAAGTCTTTTCAAGCATCCTAAGTGTAAGGTTCTCATAATTAGAGGTAGGCACACAATAAAGGCAATTATCAAGGAAAAAAAGTAGATATGCAAGGCTTTTGATACAGTTCCCCATGGCCGCCTCCTAGAGAAATTGATGCATTATGGCCTAGACAAGTGGTCTATGCAGTGGGTGGGGAATTGGCTGGCAGGCTGCACCCAAAGGGTGGTGGTAAATAGCTCTTTTTCAAACTGGCAATATGTCACAAGTGGAGTCCCCCAGGGATCGATGTTGAGCCCAACGTTATTCAATGTCTTCATAAGTGATCTGGAAAATGGGATCAAGTGTAGCCTGATGAAGTTTGCATATGGCACCAAACTGAGTGGGGAAGTAGACACTGGAGGGGAGAGCCACCCTGCAGGAAGATCTGGACAGGCTGGAAGAGTGAGCTAACAAGAACCTTATGAACTTCAATAAGGACAAGTGTAAGGTCTTGCACCTGGGAAGACTTAATCCAGGAGTGCAGCAGAGATTGGGATCCACCTGGCTGGGGAGCAGCTCTGTGGAAAGTGGCCTGGGGGTCCTGGTGGACAGCAAGCTCAATATGAGTGAGCAGTGTGCTGCTGCTGCAGCCAAGAAGGCCAATAGGATGCTGGGTTGCATCAAAAAGGGCACCACCAGCAGAGATAAAGAAGTCATTATCCCACTCTACTCAGCACTTGTCAGGCCACACCTGGAATACTGTGTACAGTTCTGGTCCCTGCTATACAAAAAAGGTGTGGACGGGCTGGAGGGAGTCCAGAGAAGGGCCACCAAGATGATCAAAGGACTGGGAAGCCTGGAGTATGAGGATAGGCTGAGAGAACTGGATTTGTTCAGCCTTGAGAAAAGGAGGTTTAGAGGGAATCTCATTACCATGTACCAGTACCTAAAGGGTGACTACAAAGAAGATGGAGACTCCCTTTTTACATGAGTGACATGGAGAGGACAAGGAGGAATGGACACAAGTTGCTTTTGGGGAGATTCCAACTGGACATGAGAGGGAAATTTTTCACAATGAGAACAGTCAACCATTGGAATAATCTCCCCAAGGAAGTGGTTGACTCCACCACATTGGACACTTTTAAGACTCAGCTGGACAGGGTGCTGGGCCATCTCTTCTAGACTGTGCTCTTGCCTAGAAAAGTTGGACTAGATGATCTTTGAGGTCCCTTCCAACCTGGAATTCTATGATTCTATTCTATGATATCTGAGTTAACACCCGCAAATCACCCCAAAAAACTGACACACATTGACTTGGAGAATATAATGGTTAATAGTTATGAGACCCTATATAATAATAGTTTCATGAAAATACTGATTTCTTTAAAAATGTGGTTTAAAATAATATAGCTTCAGTGTGCACTGAGCAGTAAATTTGTAAACAAGTTAAAGACTTGCATGTTTAAGCAAAATAAGCATGCTACATACCACTCTTAAAAACATATTACAGAGACACCTGTTAGAGGAATATTAAGTACATGGTCTTGAGGATAGAAAGCCCATAGAAAAGATATTAAAAGCTTTTAAGTGGTCTGGTATTTCACATTTTCAATATTCTGCATTACGACTTTACTTTTATATGGAGCAGGATCTTTAATTGTAATATGATCTTTAACAATACAGGTAACTAATGTTTAGTAGATCCCAACAGTTACTTTACATTTTAAGTAGGTAAATAACAGCCCTTCAGTATTGAAAAGGAAAAATTTTTCTTACCTTTAGGTGCCATTTGTAAAAACTGCTTATGAAGTGTAGTAAGTTGTGAAATAGTTAGAGTACCACTTCCAGATGTCTCTATGTGTGGAACATGTGGTGAAGGAACAGGGTCAGGAATCACTTTTATATCACTGCTGATGAAGAAATCTGTTTCTTCTAATGTAATTTCATATTGGATTTTGCTAGAACTCTCAATATGATGTCGTGCCACCTCAATCAGCTTTTCAACACTATGAAAGTGTAAATGCAGAAAACAATGAGTACTTTTAATACACAATGTTAATAACTGAGGTTCAAGTTTTAATGTATTTACACTTTGAGAGCTTTCCTGAAGAAGGAATTACAAATCCTCTGTGTGAATTCTGTACTTAGCAAAATCATAATGAAGTGTACTCCTCCTCTGGCAGCAAGAAATCTTTTGACTGTGGTAAGAAATTTTTATAAAGGCAGATCTAAGCCACAGGAGACACCTGATAGAAAAATAGGAAAGGATGAGACTATTCCATAGATTTTATAGGGGTGAAGCACACACATTCCATCTGTAATCATCCTTTAGCCTATTTCAATGCCTTGTCTTCTGCTCTGCCCCTAGGTCCTAGATATACAAAGCACTTGTAGCATTGTGGAGGGGTATATGAGCTCCTGTTTTGAGTGTAATGAGTAAAATTTATACAGGGAAAGACATCAGCTGTCTATAGCATTCAACTAGACATAGGTTTGGCCTGGGGTGTCAGGTCAAAGGACATGATGTTCTGTAAATATTGTGTCTTTGGTAGTGCTCATTGTCAGGAGAACAAATAAAACTGCTTGAAGGCAGAGTCTCACCCTCTTTGAGTTATTGCCTGTTAGAGCCTTCACGTCCTACATTCATGTCTCTTGCCTTGGGGTTGCCCTGACATGGGTCAACTAGCACTGTCCCACGTATGCTTCAAAAGTTAGTACAGGCCAGAAACATTTTCCAAAGGGGAAAGTGACCCCTTTCTTTTCGAGAGTAAAATCCTTTAATGATATGGGCATATGCCGTTCTATGGCAGATGGCCTAAGATGCATAGAGTGGTCACAAGCACCTTTTATTTGCTAGGACAGAAAAATTGCAAAGAACTTCTTTTTTAGAGGAGCTTGAAATAATTTTGAGAAATGTTATACATAGTGGTAGTAACAGTAGGTGGAATTTTCCAGCATGTGTAAAGCACAGGAAAGAAAATAACCCCACAATCCAAAGTGACAGAAAACACATAAATGATATAGAGGTTTCTACTAAATGGAATAACTGGTTGTCTGCTGATGATCGTAAATCTGCTAAATCTGTAGTCTAGAAAAACAGAAGAACTGATAATTACCTCTACTGCTGCCAGCGGAACGTTCTAATCATCCAAGAAATGAGTTATTACTATTCAGGTATTTAAGATAAGATTAAATTCCACTTCATGAAATGAAATTATTATTTTCTACATTTTTTTCAGATTACTTGCTTCTATATAAACAACTATCTTTAGATAGTATAGTCTAGTTTGAAAAAATAGTTCCTGTTTAAAATTGGATAAACATTACCTGGACATTTCCGCCAAGAACCTGGATCCAAGCCACTTTTCCATATCTTTATAAGCCTCTTCTGCTTTCATTGTTAGCTCTTCAACAAATGCTAAAGCTTTTTCTTTTATAAGTTCCAGTCGAGATTTTGCAGCTTCCTCTATTTAAACAGTAATGTCATAATAATGAATATTTATAAAATCTGAGGAAAATTCTCAGTCTTAAACACCTAAAGTTTAACATGCTAGCCTGTTTTTAGGCAGTAAAATATTTATTTAATTTCTCGTATTCTTGAACAAATTATTTTTCAGAATCACCCCTATTGCACCATGTATATATACAAAAGTGTGTCTTCGATAAGCATCAGAATTCACAAGGTAACAATAGCTTAATAAAACTAATATAGAGGTGCAGGAGATGTTTAAGTAGACAGTGACATTGAACTAAATTAACACTCTACAGCAATATACCTAGAAGCTTAATGATGCAAGTTGAGTACTCTGTTGTGGATAAATTTTAAAGAAAACACATCTAATTCATTATGTATGTTAATCACAAAAAAAGTTTGCTTTTCTGTTTCTGGTCTCCAGCCCTTTAAAATTAACCTCACTGTTTTTTCTCCAAGCTTCCTACATATAACTATTTTATACCCTAAAACTCTGATTGCATTAGAAGAGAGTTTGGTTATCACTAAGAAAATCAGTCACCTCTACCAAAATAATGAACAAAGTATTTACACGAAACTTTTAAAAACATGGAGAATTTAATGATTTTTAGTTTTCAGAATGGCAAGAACTGAGAAGAATAATCAGTCTCTCACTGAGAGGCTACTACTTAAAAAAAAAAGAGCAAAAAGGATAAGAAATGGGAGCAAGGCAGCAATGTCCAAAGTGAAAAGGATGCCAACTGGATGAAAAGACAGCTATGGTAATGTATTGAGAGACACATGGAGCAGGCACTGAAAGACATTGAAAGGCTTACAAAACGAGAGTAGGAATGAGGAGCAGTAGCTAGAGATTATTTTCAATCCTGCAGGCAAATTGAGTATTCAACTTGATTTTTCTTCATATTTAACCTTCTGTAGTGCAGAATCTTTTAAACAATATTGTATAGTAATTGGCACAGTGACTTCAAAGTTGAAGAGTGTAAAATTATTTACATTACAATCCTTATTCTATAGGCTACTAAGTTTTCAGAATACTTAGGTTTGGAGCTGAAACTTTCTTTAGGCAACCAATGTAGAAAGATAGACCCTGAAAAACATAAGGCATGTCTTTCTGATGTTATTTCTCAGTCATAGTAGACTGCAACTCTGCACACTTCTGTTTCTGGCAAGAAAGAGTTGATGTTCAAAATTTTAAACATAGAATGGATTTGGGTCTCAGAGAGGGTTATTTTATTTGATGGCAAAGACATAAGAGTAAAGGTTCCAAGCAACTGAAAGTACCTTAGACGCTTTGTGCCTGTCTAGTCGCCTTTATTTAATACAGTTTAAGGCTGCCTTATTTGTGACTTCCCTGCATTTTCTAGAGTAGCTGCTATCAGTATGTTACAAAGAAAAGTGTATGACAATTTTTGCATTTTCAGAAGCAGGAACTGCACAGTCCAGTGACAAAGCTGCCCTATTAGTCGCCAAGCCCCTCTCCATGATATTTGAAAAGTCATGGCAGTCAGGTGAAGTCCCTGGTGATTGGAAAAAGGGAAACATTGTACCCATTTTCAAAAAGGGTAGAAAGGAAGACCCTGGGAACTACCGACCTGTCAGCCTCACCTCTGTGCCTGGGAAGATCATGGAACAGATACTCCTAGGAGCTATGCTAAGGCACATGGAGGCCAGGGAGGTAATTCGAGATAGCCAGCATGGCTTCACCAAGGGCAAGTCCTGCCTGACGAACCTAGTGGCTTTCTACGATGGAGTGACAGCATCAGTGGACAAGGGAAAACCAATGGATGTCATCTATCTGGACTTCTGCAAAGCCTTTGACACGGTCCCCCACAACATCCTTCTCTCTAAATTGGAGAGCTATGGATTTGATGGGTGGACTGTTCGGTGGATAAGGAACTGGCTGGATGGCTGCATCCAGAGGGTAGTGGTCAATGGCTCCATGTCCGGATGGAGACCGGTGGCGTCCCTCAGGGGTCCATACTGGGAACAGTGCTGTTTAATATATTCATCAATGACCTAGACACTGAGATTGAGTGCACCCTCAGCAAGTTTGTGGATGACACCAAGCTGAGTGGTGCAGTTGACAAACCAGAAGGATGGGATACCATCCAAAGAGACCTGGGAAAGCTGGAGAGGTGGGCCTGTGTAAACCTCATGAGGTTCAACAAGGCCAAGTCAACCGTACTCTGGGCTGCATCAAAAGAAGCGTGGCCAGCAGGTCGAGGGAGGTGATTCTGCCCCTCTACTCTGCTCTGGTGAGACCTCACCTAGAGTACTGCGTCCAGCTCTGGAGCCCTCAGCACAAGAAGGACATGGAAGTGTTGGAGCAGGTCCAGAGGAGGGCCACAAAAATGATCTGAGGGCTGGAGCACCTCTCCTATGAGGACAGGCTGAGGGAGTTGGGCTTGTTCAGCCTGGAGAAGAGAAGGCTGCAGGGAGACCTGATTGCGGCCTTTCAGTACCTAAAGGGGGCCTATAGGACAGATGGGGAAAATCTTTTTAGTAGGGCCAGCTGTGACAAGACAAGGGGTAATGGTTTTAAACTAAACCAGGATAGGTTTACACTAGATATAAGGAAGAAATTCTTTACAATGAGGGTGTTGAAATACTGGAACGGGTTGCCCAGAGAGGTAGTGGAGGCCCCATCCCTGGAAACATTCAAGGCCAGGTTGGATGGGGCTCTGAGCAACCTGATCTAGTTAGCGGTGTCCCTGCTCCTGCAGGGGGGTTGGACTAGATGACCTCTAGGGGTCCCTTCCAACCCAAAACTTTCTATGATTCTATGATTAACAGTAGCAGAGTAAAAGTCAAGGCACATTGACGCAACAGAGAAACAGAATATGAAATCAGCATTAAAAACTGTCCACAACTAGTGACTTTGCTAGTCTCTATGTATTTGTATAACCAAAAGCACAAGCATCCAGTTACCATAGCTGTAAGTGAAAATATGATCCTCAGATATACCAGCTATGTGCCTGTGCAATTATGAAATACAGCTCAACATGTTTAGTCTTCCTTAGATTGTTATCTTGGCTTTTTTGTAAAATATAAGATGAAAATGAAGCAACCTCAAGAAAACAAAACATATCAATGAATCACTAAAATTTGTACTCATACTGTTAAGATCTTCAAAGTTACTACTATTCCTTTCCCCATTATCCCAAAATCTTAGAATATTTATTCCTAAACTGCTTTTGGATCAAACCATGTTGAAAGCGGTAGGTATACAAGCATTTGGTCTGGTGTGGACCCAAAGAAGCGTTATGTATTTGTGTTTTGTTCATTAACTGCTGTTTGCCCTCTAACTTTTCATAATAAATACTACGCAAAAGTTAGCCTGCCAAGGAGGTAACATACATGATGATGGGCTTGCCAACTGTTGCCAAAGAGAATCTCTAGCAGCTAGGTTCTCTCTCTCCTTTAGTGAGAAAGAGGTCTTTTTATTCTAGTCTAAACCCATCTTCAAAAAAAATTTCAACCTATTTTCAATTTAGGACTTCTGTTTTTCAGACATCTGCTTTTTGCTGAAATTGACCAGTTGGCTTGGAATTTATTGGGTAAGACAGACAAAGAGACAGAATGCCTGAACAATGTGTAGTTTTTGGAAGGGTCTGTCTGGAAAGGAGTTTGGAAGAATAAACAAAATCTGTGTCTTGCTGCTTGAATGCCATGCAGCTTGAGGAAGAGGGAATCAGAGAGAAGAGCATCAATAAAACATACAGTTGCCAACAAATTCTTTCCCAGATCAAAACATTTCAAACACTGAATTCAATTCAATTGAATACTGAAGAGTGGCTAACCACCTATGTGAAACTTATTGTCTCATGATGAATACTTGCTTAGTCGTGGCAAATGAAATTAAATGAAATTAAACAGAAGAGAACAAAAAGAAGAATGAAAAACACACTTCTATTTTAAATATATTTACCACAAAATCACTGATGACTACTACCCTCAAAAAATTCCTGATTTCTCCAGACACTCCTTTCTGTCCCCTCATTTTTCTTACATATCCATCCATTTCCCCTAGTTTCTGGCTAGTTTTGACTATTACACTACCTAAACTAGGAATAACAATCGCCCCCCAATATAAGTAGCCAAATAGTAGCATACCCTCGTGTTTCAAGGCACTGAAATATTCTTGCTTTATTTTAAGTGTCAGTTCTCGTTTCTTTAATTCTTCAGGGGTGATAGGAGCTGGACTGACTTCGACCACAGACGCGGTAGAAGATGGTCCTGCAGGAAAATAGACCTCTTACAGTCTTTGGACTTTGTTGGTAAGTTTGTGTATCTGTACACAGGCATTCACAAGACAGCACAATTTTTTAAATGAAAAATGTCACTTTCCACCTTATTTGACGTGACCATTTATGAGAATTCAAAGGTAGGCACTCAGGTGTCTTATGTCAACATATTTAGATTTCTTCGAACATCATTTATATCTGCAAGTCATGCTAAGATTAACACTGCATAAAACTACTCCAGTATATAAAACTGTATTAAAATTGGTTAAAGGACATCATAAAATGTATTTCTGAATGGAAAATCATGACTGAGTATGTGTGCCTCTGTTGTGATCCTAGATGGTCAAGATGTTCTCTTTGACCCTAAAATCTACCGATTTATCACAACCAGCTCATAAATAAACCTCTTTTGAATGACAGCTGTTTCTTCTGAAGCAAGTTTAGCAAACTGTAGTAAAAGTGCTATGTTAGTAAATATCACTGGTTACCACCAAAGCAGTGAAAAGAACAATAATACTATCTTAAAAAAAAAAAAAAGTCAGAAGGAAAAAAAAAAGAGGTATGTTATTTCACCTGTTTTTAAACCATTCTGTTAGCTTCTTTTGCAGCTTGTTTTAACTTACGTATCTATGAACAGACATTGTAAAGGTATTTTATCATGTTTTTAAAGGTTGCGTGAAATTCTGCAGTCACAACACTTTGACTGTTACTCAAAAATATTAAAATATTTGTAACTACTTTTTCCTAAAAGAAGAGCAGATGGAGCTGTTACAGAAAAAAATGACATCTGCATTGTACATAAGGTCAACATAAAGCAGATGGTCAAAACTAGAAGTGATGAAATTATATGTGATAACCTGCATCACTCAGTTACTAGTCAATAGCTGTATCCTAGGGAATTCTTCTGTTACAGGAGCACTACAGTAACACTATATTTGGCATGAAATCAAAGTTGATACTGCAGTTACACATACATCAGTTGATACTTCACCTTCTACCATGACAAACACAGAGCTGAGTTCTAGTTGCAGTCCTGTGATTTCAGGTAAGTCATCTAGTACCAGGTCTGAAGAAAAATTTAGTTCCAAGAAGTAATCCACAAACCCCAAACTAGCCACTTAGTATGCAATAGGTGATAGCTGCTAATCTTTTATCACAAAGCTTTTCTAGAAATCTGAAAATCTGCTACTCTCTTGGCTGGATTGAAATGCTAAGTGCACACCTAAGGCTCCTTGGAGCTCAGAGATTAGGTGTCCATGTGGCTGAATATTTGCAGGGCCATACTTGTTCACTGTACTATGAGCAGAATCAACCAGAGAGAGAGCACTGAGTTCTCACTTGGAAATGGAGTACCTGAAATTCAGACTACCCTCACACCCACAGGGCTTGAGCCCCACTATTGCTATGCAGCTATGTCTTTACAGAAGATACAAGGTTTAAGTTACTAGCTTGCTTCTTGCTGGAGCTATGGCATTTTTTCAGAAAGAAGTGGCAGTTACTTAAACCACTACCTGCTCAAGGTAGTATTTATGAAAAAATGTATAAACAGCATTGCATGCCAGGATTCCTTCCAGCAGACTACCCGAATTGCTACACTAAAGAGATATGGATTTTTAGGTCTGTTTTTCTTCTGCAAATAAATTTTGTATTCTCACCTGGTTGAACAGATTCTTACCAGGCATATGAGCAAGACCTACATCAAAGGGAGTCTGCTTGCTGCTAGGACTACATATGCCATGAGACTTTATGTTCTTTACTTACACCATGTTACAGCTATATATAAAAAATGATGGACCTTGATAGATCCATGCTACTATATGGCTGATAAATTCATTCCAAAATATCTAGGGGTATTGGATAATTTACCCATTCTATTCCAGTACTTTTAATATTTGAAATATTTTGCCTTATGGATGGAAAGTAAGCAGAATTTAATGGAATTTTATTTAATTTGATAAACTAGTTTTAACTATTCAGTTCCAAAATGGCACATGGGGAAAGCTTAACTTTCTAGGTTCTAGAATAACAGTGCTGATTCTGGCTGGGATAGAGTTAATTTTCTTCATAGTAGCTGGTTCATGGCCATGTTTTGGATTTGTACTGGAAACAGTGCTGATAACCCAGGGATGTTTTCATTACTGCTGAGCAGGGCTTACACAGAGTCAAGGCCTATCCTGCTCCTCACCCCACCAGCGAGGAGGCTGGGGGTGCCCAAGAAGCTGGGAAGGTACACAGCTGGGACAGCTGACCCCAACTGATCATTCATAAAAGGCTATTCCATACCATATGATGTCATGCTCAGAATATAAAGCTGGGGGAAGAAGAAGGAAGGGGGGGGGACATTGAGAGTGATGGTGTTTGTCTCCCCAAGTCACTATTACACATGATGGAGCCCTGCTTTCCTGGAGATGCTGAACACCTGCCTGCTGATGGGAAGCAGAGAATGAATTCTTCGTCTTGCTTTCCTTGCATGTGTGGCTTTTGCTTTACCAATTAAACTGTTTTTATCTCAACCCATGAGTTTTCTCACTTTTACTCTTCTGATTCTTTCTCCCATCCCACTATAAGGAGGAGTGAGCGAGCGGCTGCATGGGGCTTAGGTGCTGGCTGGGGTTAATCCACAACAGTCCTTTTTGGCTCAACCACAACAACAACACATATGAGTAAACAACTGCAATTGCCATTCAAAAGCTTCTGCACTCCTTTACCACTACCAGCTTTTCACACTGATATGTCACATTTGACATTTCAAAAGAGAAATTAAATCCAAATGAAATGTCTTAGCTTACTCTTTTCTGTAGTACTGACATATTTCCATTTCAGTAATTTCAAGCACTGCTAAAACAAAGTCTGCATTTCAAATACCTTTCTTTTTAGATTTGGGAGAAAGCTTTTTGGCATCTTTGGCAGCTTTCCCAGTAGCTTTGCCTGGTAGTGTCTGTGAAGATTTCATATCTTCTTTCAGTTCTAGCTGCTGCTGTTCTTCTTCTTCCTCCATTTCTTTAGACTGTATTTCAGCTGTTACCTTGACACCACAGTCACACATAGTAAAGTACATAGTATCAACACTGCAAATACTTGCTGAAAGTACTTGCTGAAGTATATGCACATAAATAAAACAAAGGAGATATTTTAACTAATTAAACTGATTACAGATTGATTATTTATCAAAAACGGAATTTTACAGCAAAAATGCAGGACAGAGAGATAGCGCTTTTAGTTCTTGTAACTCATTACCTGTACTCTAGGAAGAAGTGAGAGAAGTAAGAATCAACAGTATGCAAAACAAGACTACAGGTACACTGTAAAGGTGCAATAATTCACTTATTTTCAAATTATCAAAGAGAGAAGAAAAAGCAAACATAGAAACCAAACATTTGAAAAGACCACCTAATTTACTTTAACTATATATAAAAAAGAATGTATCCATAGCTTTAGAAATTGTGAAAGGTTTGAGCAAACTTTGCATCACAGGATAAATCTTGTCCCTCTTCTCACGCTTCTAGTGAGGGATAAGGGGAGAGTTTATCATGGAAGAAGCAGATATACAGAGTAAACATTCAAAGTATTTCTCTTAGTAATGGAAGAAAGGCACAGTTATAAATACAGAGGTGCTGATAATACACAGATTCCAAAATTTTCCTCATAGAAACACAAACATATTCAATGGAAATACCAGTGGTATAGCAAGAGGCATGAAACTGAGGTACACAGTGTGAAGGCTGTGTGTTTAGGCTGCCTACTGAACTAGAGGCTTTGACTGTCCAATCCGGAAATGTTTAAATAAATAAAACATTCCTTACCATATTTGATACTGCTGTTACTGCTGTTTGCCATGTATTGGTAATAAGATTTTCATCTTTCCCAAAAGTGGCCACTCCATTTTCAGAATTCTCATCCTTAGCACTCTTCTGTAGACTTGCCTTGCTTTTTGACTTGGTAATATTTATTTCTGGTGAAGGCAGTTTCCAAGAAACTAGAGGAATCCTTAAAATTAAAATATAAGGCATAATTCACTCCCCCTTTATAAAAATTTTTAATTTATAACTACACTGGAGAATATGCTAAGAGAAGAGAACACTAATTTCAAATTTGCCATAGTGACAGAAAAGAGATGAATGTTCCTTATGAGGTGAAATCTGTGGATTACAAGAAAACTGAATAGCTTAACTACAGAAGATAAGGAATAATAAAAGATGCATAAAACTACATCAAATGACTGTGTGATCTGCTGATATATTCCACATGGGTAGAAGCACAGCCTCATTACTTAGATAGTTTCTAAACGAACTGTAAGTATTTTAAAAAAGCAGGTGTCATTACTGACAGCATTTTTGATATTGTGACATTCAGTGTCAACCTTTTAATACGGCATTCAGTTCTGTGCATTTGTATAGGCTGCTTTGATTTATATTTGTAATTACATAACACATTTAATTATGTTTGTTGGTGCAAATTTTAAACCTGTTAATATTCCATAATAATATTTAACTTAGTTATGTAAGAATTGTGCTGGAAACTGTCAGCAATGCAGGGGGAAATAGGAAACATTTCTATAGCAGATTTCTTTCTGAGGCAGCTTTAAAAATGTTTTATAATTCAGAGATGCATTAGTGACAATGATATATGTAAATCAATAAAAAATCAGGGATAAATTAAACCTATATGATTCAAGATTTATCATTTGACTATAATCCTAGTTAAAAATTTTTATTTCCCCATCCTTTGAAAAATACACACATATATTCCCACATACACCCCTAAAGCTATTGGTGCATTGTATTTCTTGATATTTGTATAATTTAATAACATGTTTGTACCTTCGTGATTTGTTTTGCTCTTCTTTCTGCTCTAAATCAGTAATATCTAACAATGGGATTCTAGTAAAATCTTGACTGTTATCCATTGGGATTTTTCCTTCCATTGCCCTATAATAGTCATGAAGAAGTCTCTTTGTATCTTGGAAACGATCCACTTCAACCTCAGGAAGAAAGAAAGATTGCAATTCAAAACAGAACAGAACAAATTTATTTTACATTTTTAAATAAATGGTAGCATAAGCAATGCTAAATCCTACGAGTTTGAGGGAGAGCAACAAACATAACCTTATTGGTTTGAAAATTTATAGTGTATTCAATGCATACTTCCACTTGCATCTATGGTGTCTTCACACTGATATTTCTAAAGATTAATAAAAATCTTAGTACTCAGAATAAGAAAAAATATTTACAATGAATAATGTTTGATGCATTAAATTTAATTGCAATATATTTTGATGTATATATATTTCTATTGTAGCAAGTATACTAGTATCAACAAATTATAGGGATTTTTTTGCTCAAAAGAAATAAAATTCTTAATAGCCTAAAAGAAAAAAGGGTTAAGTGATGGAGAAAATTTTAAAAGCCATACAGTTTTTCTGGACCAAAGAAATCAACAGACTTTACACAGCTAAAGTCTTGAAGATCTTGTTGTGTGAATCAACTTGGAAGAAATCAAGTAAGATTCAAAAAACACTTAACACCTGTCATGTTTTGATTTATTGATACAGTATGGTGTTAGTTCCTAACTGACAAAACAGTACTAAATATTCATGGGAAAATGCACAAAACCACATTCACAAAACGAAGGATAAAACCTTTGTGGTGTAAACCAGCACTTATCCATAAGTTAAGGAGAAAATATCTTCTAGAATAACAAAGTACACACAAAGGTGTAAAGAAATCTGATAAACGGCATTTACTCAAATCTATGTGTTTATACAGAAACAGAGCCACCTGGGCAATATATGTAACTTCCCACAGAAAAACCCACAGATGGAGAGCTCAAGACCAAAGAAGCCTATTTTTGGCTGCTTCTCAAATAAAGCCATAACATAAAGATATTATATTTTTAGTTCTGTAGTTTGAGCACTAATAATTCATTTATTTGGGGGACTATATACTAAGTAAAGTAAAATTGGTTTCCTTTGCATTTTTCTTTAGGAAAATAAAAGCGCTTCTATGGTTAATACATGTATTTGTAATTTTAAATGGCTATTCTGCATATCCACACAAGACAGATCAAAGTAGACTCATAGTGAAACTCCTCTCAACTGCATCATACGTGTCCATGAAATTCAGTTAGAAGATAATTAAGATTGCAAAGTTATACATGAATGTAAAAGGAGAAAAATAAAAGATTTAAGCACAGCAGTTTTGCTTTTATTTGGCTCTCTTGTGCATATAACTCAAGATATATTTTTTTAAATACTCTGTCCTATAAATATCCTAATTATAGGATGAATGTGGTTCAGTTGATATTTCAACCTCTCTTCAGTTGGTGGCCTTAAGTCTTTATTTAGGGCATTATTTATGCCCTTTGAAAACTAGGTTAATAATTTCCTTACTAGAGCAGCTACTTCACAAACTTTACTTAAATTACCACAAGAGACATATGAGATAAGGGAGTGGTTCCCTTGTTTACTAAACATCAAAATAACATAGAAAATTAAAGGGAGAAAGCCCACGCTAAGCTGCTTAGGCCTGATTTTTCAGCCAAATTAGCATCACATGGCATGTGTTTAAAGCATTGTTTTCACTGTCTTCTTTAAAGTTGCCAAAACTTTCACAGAACCATCACTCAGTTTGCAGAAAGGCCTGTCTAGTCTACTCTATTCCAGTCCAGACCAGTCCTAAATCAAATTTATGCACCTACAACAGCAGCCACAGAGAAATCTGACTTTACTTCAGGAACTGAAGTAATTAATGGTCAGGCTGAATGAGAGTAAAGGCTTAATGTGGGGGAGGGGAGAGCCAACTAATTGAAGATGGTCTCTTGAAAACTTGAAAGTTAGATGTGTGAAAGCTGGGTCATATTTGAATGGATTTTCTCAAGAGCAAGAATTGACATCACATGCTCAAAAACATTCCTTGCAATTTTTTATGAGTCTGTAGGTAAAATTTCAAGTCCTGTTGGTGAAGTTACAACTGAAATAATTTTGTGATATGGGAAATACAAGGACAACATTAACAGCAAGTGGGTCTACAACAGCAGTGAATTATGTCATTTGTAAGTTAAGAGCAGATGTCAATATGATCACAGAAGGATAAACAGCTCTAATATTTCCGTTACAAAACTCAGATGATTCACTGGACTGATAAAATTGCAAAAAGTAGCACTATACATTACAGATTGAAAGTTTGAGGGCTTGGGCAATAACAATGGTATTTTTCTAAACCTTTTCTGCCTGCCAAACAGTTAAATGTATAGAATGTCATCTACTTTTTGTCTCTTAACTTTCTAGATGAATTCAGAAGAAGCATGAACATTTGCTTATATAATTCTAAATCCCTCACTTATTTGGAGCCAATCATATGAAATTCCTCTGAGGCTTATTGTCCTACAGATCTAATTAATTGTCCCCTTCTATTGCACACTCTGCAGCAGACCCATACCTGCATAAGTGAAAAGAAATGGTTCATTGCAATCCCCCTACGATCTGGTAACCAGCCATCATTCATGATATCAGTACGTTCCTGCTCTGCTTCTTCCCTTCTGTTATCACAGATTTCCCAGAGAAGATCTCTTAGGTCCTAAAACACAAAATCAAATATGAGAAAGAACTATGAAAGAAAACTTAAATATCTTTTTAATATTTATTATTAAAAATTATAATTTTTGCCTATGAATAGGGTATATTCCCATTTGGGGCTTTTTCTTTATTGTTATAAATGTCAAAGCCTGGTCAACAAGTCATGCTTACAGAGATACGACAGCTTTACAAATATGCCAGAGAGAAGAATACAAAGGTGTGACATAAATGTGTAGGCTGCCTTTCTTTCTTCAGGCAGAGAAGACCTAAGCTAGACAAAGACATGAGAATATGAATAGCTAAGCTCCCAACTGTATCAGCAACTTTCCACTTGAGGTAACTAACACAGTTATAAGAAAAGTACTCTAAGGGGATTTGCAGTATGAAAAATGCTGAGAAAATTATGTCAGAGTTTAAGTATTCTTCCAATTTGGATAGTTCCATGCCATTTTTATTTAACGTTCTTTATAACTAAGGGCTCTTGAACTAGTGACTATATCTAATAGCAGCACTATGTGGCTCACTGACAGCACTCAAGACCTACTAAGCACACAACATGCATGCAAACTCTCTGTTCTCCATTGCCATCTCTGCATGGAAATACTGTGACAGACCTCTAGGTAATAAGAGGTCATAGGAAAAGAAGAGCGCTGTTAAATGCAGTGCTAAGGTAGGCTAAGATGAGCTGTCTTTCAGGCTCTAAGCAGTTCTACCCCACCTGACCCGTTTTGAGATGAAGAGAAAGGTCTTCCAGGCTACTAGCCCTGCAATGAGGGGCTTAGACTTCAGGTGATGAGTGATTCCATATTCACTAGTCTTGGTCTCAGACTAGTATGTCAGATCCTGTTTCTCTACCCCTGTCCAAAAACTTCAGACAAGTCCAGTTGTCCTCTATTGGACAAAAGTCACAGGGAAGCTGACAAATGAGTAGTCCTTGGGCTACCTAACACATCAGTGATGGTGGAGAGAGCAGGTAGCCAAAGTGAAGGCCATCAGATATTCATGGTTGTCCACATTGCAGGATATACATGTAAGGATATGCTACTGAATACAGAAGATATAAGCATACAACTTATTTGTTTTGCAGTGGTGGGTTGACCTTGGCTGGCTTCCAAGTGACCACCTCACAGGACAGGGGGGCAGGGGGAGAAAATATTATGGAAAAGTTCATGGGTCAAGATGATGATGGGGAGATCACTCACCCATTACTGTCACGTGCAAAACAGACTCAACTTGGGGAAATTTATTTAATTTATCTTCCATTAATCACAGAGCAGAATAGTGAGAAATAGAACAAAACTAAAACCACCTAAAACTAAAACTATGTGCTGCCCCCCAGGTGGCGCAGGGAGGTTGGGGAATGGAGGTTGCAGTGAGTCCGTTATGTGTCGTCTCTGCTGCTTCTTACTCCTCACACTTTTCCCCTGCTCTAGAGTGGGGTCCCTCTCGTGGGGTACAGTCCTTCATTAACTTCTTCAGCGTGGGTCCTTCCCATGGGAAGAACTGCCCCAGCGTGGCTCCTTTCTATGTGTGTAGTCCTTCATGAGCGTACTGCTCCAGCGTGGGTCCCCCATGGGCCACAGGTCCTGACAGAACACCTGCTCCTACGTAGGCTCCTTTCTATGGGATGCAGTTCCTGCCAGGAGCCTGCTCTGGTGTGGGCTCTCCACAGGCTGCCACTCCCTTCATGGCACATCCACCTGCTCCAGCATGGGGTCCCCCACAGGCTGCAGAATGGATGTCTGTTTCACTGTGGCCCTCTATGAGCTGTAGCAGAACAACCTGTCACCATGGTCTTCTCCACAGGCTGCAGGGGGATCTCTACTCTGGTGCCTGGAGTGCCTCCTCCTCCTCATTCTTCACTGACCTTGGTGACTTCATTGTTGTTGCTCTCACATTTTCTCACTCCTGTCTCACAGCTACCAGGCAGCGTTTTTTACCCTTTCTTAAATACACTATCCCAGAGGTACCACCATTGTCGCTTGTTGGCTCAGCTTCAGTCAGCAGCAGGTCCATCTTGTAGCCAGCTGACTGGCTCTGTATGACATGGGGGCAGCTCCTGATGTCTTTGAACAGAAGCCACCTCTGCAGACCCTTTGCTACCAAAACCTTGCCACATAACCCCAACACCATACAAGCAAAATAAACTGATGTTTTGTACAAACTGATGCACAGCTCTTTCCAGTACCTTCCTGAGACAGATAAGGAGAAACATCTTCTTTTTCCTCATGTTATTCAAGTCACAGTTTTGATTTAGTGTAAGCAGTAGACATAACTGGAGAAGGAGACAGTGAGGTATCTTCCTCTGGGAGAAGCTAAAAGCATGTTTTATGTGTCTCTCTCCCACCACTCTGCCTCTTTTCAAAGAGAGGCAGCTTCTCTCTCCTTTCCTTGTACTCAGGTGGGTGAAAAAAAAAGAAAAAATGGATACATGTGCCAAGTCCTCTCCCATCTGGAACAAGAGAAGTAGTGTGACCAAGTGACTGACCATGTGTGATGATAGCAATAAAGTGAAAGGGAAGTTGGAGAAATTACTGAAAGGGAGTGTTACAGAGATAGGCTGCTGAAGCGTGTTTTATCCACAGTGACTCTGAGTTTGGATCTTTAGGATGGCAAAGCCTTGGCTGCCCTTTGGGCTTTAGACCTTTGATGAACTTCATACACATCACAAAATCGGGTGGATTTTTACATTTTCATGTTGATATCAGAGAAATTTTGTTTTCAGGTTTCACAGCTGGCAGCTTCCAGTGTGGATAGTGTTTCAGTGCCTTACTCACTGGTATTAGCCTTATTACAGTATCTGAGTCTCAGTGCGTCATATGGGACTATCACCTCCTCTCAACCTAATTTGAAACAGACAATGTCAAACATGGATTTTTTTTATGACTGAAAGGCCAAGCATTTTAAATTTTGCTTTCTAAAATATAGGACAGAAGAATTCCAGTCTTTTAATAATTCCATTTAGTAGAAATCAGGAATATGGATGATGATTTTTAAGTCCTCTACTTCATCCTATTGAAATAATGCTACAGAAAAGGAGGTCCAGTGCTTTTTCCATCTCAGTGAATTCATCCATGATTACACCAATATTCCCTTCAACTAACAGTGTTGCCAGCATTTCTTTTCCCCTTTTCTGGGAGCATTTTCTGATATGATTTCAACTAAAATCATGTCTGTTCTGAAATGGGAATCTGATAAATTCAAAGATAGCTCTACTTCCTGCCTATGTTAAAACTTGTTAGGACCTTTAGTCTTATGGATTTTTGTGAAGAACTCTCAGGACATGTGTGACCTGGTAAAGATCTACCTGAGTCACAACATTTCAAAGAAATCTGTGTATGAGAAATTTCTTTTTTTAGAAAACATGTATTACCATATATCATTTATGGAAAAAGTAGATGACTGCCAAGATTTGTTAGAATGTGATAAAATGTCCAAACTTATGAGTAAAATCACTGAAAAACATGAAACGTAAAGAAAAAGAGAGAACTATTTCTTTTACAATGTGCCAGAATACCACAGTATATCAAAAAAAAAAGAAGACAGACGTAAGAAAGATATGGCCAAAACCCGAAGAAATAATTGTGAAGAACACTTTACGTATAAGAGGAAGTGAAATAGTTTAAGAGGAGTGGTAAAATGAAAAAAAAACCCAACAACACTTTTGGGTATATTGTAAGTTTTGCCATTTACTTACAGTAACTCTTTGGTGTAGTTCTGCTTTTGTTTCCTCATCTTCTCGCAGGTCATCAGCAATGGAATTAAAATCTGATTGCCACTGAGATACAAACTTCTGCTTAAGATCTGGACACTTCAAATAATCTTGGAATTTTTTTCTATAAATTATGGTAAAAACAATTTTGGTGTTAAAAGACATACAGAATGCCACAGTAAAAATACAAAACACTAATATTAATGTAATGCTACTATTTCTACTCACTTAATGTCTGCTAAGTAATAAATCGCGGAGTGCTGTTCATCCCTTAGACATCTTAGTATAGTTTTGATGGTATTCATATATGCATTTTCTACCATTTCCCAGTAAGGTACTAAAAACCCAGGTATCTCCTGTAAATTTTTCAGAAACATCAAAATTAATTGATATATTTCTTGGTAACCCATTTAGCTGTAGCATTAGCAGATATAAGAAATATTATTTCATGAAATTGTATTACTGAATTTTTTTCACTATGTTTCTTTTGATTTACAACTATTTACAACTGATAATAGACACTATACCAACATATAGTATAACCTGTGCATTTCTTTAGAAAAAAAAATGACAGTACTCAAAATGAATGGGAAATTCCAGCAGAATACTCCAATACCTGTGGTTTTGGATATACTCATAAACTAAGTGAAGATACTGAGTACTTAAGTATCAAAATTTGGCGGTACACAACTGTTCAAACTGACTGTCTAGGATTGCAAAAGTGACATTTGACAGACTGACTATCACGAAAAGCAAAATAAAACCCATAGCCAGAGGAAACCCAGCATATGCAAGCTAATTGAAGTCATGAAGGCAAAACCGGTAAATATTGGGAAAGGAATTACAGAACAAAATACAAAGCATCATCATGCACCCTTTAAATCTACATCTCAAATACGGCATGCAGTCCTAGCTCCTCATCTCAAAAAATTTACAGTAGAACTGGAACAGACAGACAGAAGGGCAAGAATTATGATTAAACATATGAACTGCTCCACATGAGGAGAGTTAAACAGATTTTGACTGGATTGGAGATACGAAGCAACATTGAGCAAAATCAAGATATAATAGATTCCTGTCATGTCTTAAATACCTTCAGAGGATGATTGTAGAAATATTATTTGTTGTATATCACATTACAAGAACTACGGTCCTCAAATGACCCAAGCAAACAACAGGTTTAAAGCAAAGAGACAGAAATGTTTTTTCAGAATGAGCATAATTATACAGGTTTTATCATGGACACCAAAATGTAAATTGCTTCAAAAAAAAGCAACTAGAGGTAATGATGGACGAAAAGTCTATTGAGAGCTAACAGAAACACAAAGATGCAGATATAAAGTTGTCTCAGCAAACCCCTAAATTTCAGATCATTGGAAACTAGGAAGATGTCCTTGAGGAAAACATGTCAGAAAAAAGTATCCTAGGAGAAAGATCAGTGCACACTCTCCTCACTCTTATATTCTTTCTATGAGGCCCACAACTGGCCATTGTCAGAGACAGGGAACTGTACTACATCTACGCCAGTATTTCACAATTTTAAAAAGTATTATAAGCTTCGTATCTATGTGCTATCTTCATCAACATTGTGAAGAATTTAAAAAAAAAAATATCAAAATTTTAAAGTGTTTCCTTATTTTATATATTTTAGTAGCAACTGTTTGTAAATTTAGATATTTGTAATACAGTACCAGTGTATCTTTCATTGAAAAATATTGAAAAAACACAACATGCTATGAGACAAAAGTTTTAGGTAGAATATGCATAAAATCCTGAGAAAACTATATACTTTGATATCTAAGAGTTTTAATTGTGAATGAAAGTACCTTGGGAAGTGGTTCATCTACATAAATCCATTCATCTGATCCTGGTTCAATCGGTGGTGCTGGTGCCACAGGAATGGGAGAAAGCAGATCTTGAGACGTAACCGGTAAAAGCTTTTTTCCTGGTGATATTTCTTGAGAAGACCCTTCTATATGAACATAAAATTAGAGTCTTCAAATGTATTCTAAGTATCAATAATCAGATTTAGACACCTATGCTACTCTGACAAGTTCAAAATAACGCAACAGATTCAATATTTCATTACTTAGGTGTTGTTCATCAAAAAATGTACTAATCAACACAGTGACACCACAGTTATAAAATCACTTTCCAATTAAGGTTATGTTTTGCAGGATTGATACTTTTCTAAAACCATCGCTGGGAGAGAAACAGGAAAATAAGGAATTAGCATGTATGCATATGAAACAAATTCTTTACCAGGTAAGCCAAGGCCAGTGCTGTTGATACAATTCCAAGATTCATTACAACTACCATGATTTCAAGGACTCCCTTTCTAATTAAAGAACAGTTGTAAACACTTAATAGCTTCCATGCTAGACTTGAGAAAGAGTGAACCAAGAAAAACAAACACTGAAGAAGAAACAAACAGATAAACCGAGCTAAATCTGGCCTAATATGGAAAATACATCTTACTCTGAGGAGAAGCTGAGAAGTATGAAAGACGACGGATGAGGAAAAAAGAAAGAGAGAAAAGATCATGTGGCAGAGAAAGAAACAAGTGAAAAACTAACCTTGCTAACCTATAGTATAGCAAAATAATACTGAATGTAGTTAGCAGCTTCAAAGCATGGTTCAACCCTAGCATCTGAACTGATGTCTGGAAAGGTATCAGCATCTCCTCAGTGATCACAGAAGGATCCTACAACTAGATTTTTAAGTTAACATTAATTAACTGCCCAGAATCATATGCATGAATTCTGGCCAGTTTTGCTGTGGATTTGAAAATATTTGAAGAAATAAATAGACTTGCATTAAACCACTGTTTCAAGTGTCTTGTCTTTTTGTTTGAAAGAAGCTTAACATTTAAAGAATACATGTGTTTTGTTTTACTTTAAGTGTCACAAATTGGCCTCTTGCTGGATGCTTCAATAGAAAAACTGTTACCATTCTCCCGACTTAAGTTTATAAAAAGAACAAAACTCTTGGCCACATAAAATATTCCAACTACTTCAGCTTCTGCTAAATATTTTGAGAACCAATCTCTGGATTTCGCCTTACCACATCACTCCCAGAATGCTACTGATTTCTTGCTAATTAATATACATTCTCATACCTCTGGTCTGCTTATATAAACCTATTAGTGAAGGATGGCTTGAAATCTATCAACATAAATATGAAATAACACATTATTAACTGACCACAGGGATTATTTCTCCATATGGAGCAAATAGTCCTTACAGTAATTCTGCAAGATAGATGGATTCTAAACAGAAAATCTCAACTCCATTTGCATTAATAGGAATTTTGGCGTTGATTCCAGCAGGGCTATGGATTATATCAAGAATATAAAAAAACAACCAGGTAAATCTTTGAAAATGCTCCATCCAGTTTTGATATTTCAAAGAATTTTTCATTAAGTGAAAACCTTGTGCAGGAGTAGTGGTCTAAACTTTTACTGTTAAGAGTGCTTTTCAAGAAAATACCTTTTTTTTGGTGGTGGTAGAAGACATATTAAGACTTTCTTGTAATAATTATGAAGAAAACCCCTGGTTATTCAGAAGTCTACTATTTCTGGTTTACTTGATGCATCTTTTCCCCTGAACACTTCACCTTTTTTCCTTTTTTATTTTTAAATTATTCTTTACTTTTGAGTGATTAACAGGAAAAATGGAAAAATATGCACCAAAACACATGTGAAAAACACTCAAAGTTATCCATGTTTTTAAGCTGCTGCTGGTAAATGAATATATGTTGATAATGGCAACTTAGTCTTTCTTATACCATTATGCTGTCCCATATGGTGAAGATGCTACCTGTAATATTTAAATCAGAAAGGACTGAATTTAGTAATCCTTTATTTCATGGAATTTAAATAAATCCAACTGATGCTTTCTTTTAATTATTTAAAAAAATGTTCTCAAATTATTTTTATAATTATGTGAAATTCATCTGTATGCTCTGAAAAGGTAAAACACAACAGAACAGTTCAAAGTGCACTAACTTGCACATCCGCAAAGCCTTGGAGGGCCAGTGAAAATGTATGTTTCCATATAGTTTTATATATTAATTATTAGTATTAATTATAAAGAACAAAGTCTTTTCTTCCTGAATTGTAAAAAGTAAGAACAGGAAAACTTACTTCTATTCTGTTTTTTGGCAGTTTCTTCCATAATAATTTCCTTCACTGTTTTGCACACAAGACTTTCTTCTGTCTCTGCGTTGACTTTCACCAGAATATTTTGATGGACTGAAAACCATTTCTCTAATTTTGGCCATGTGTCTAGAAAGCCTGAAATTCTACAAAAATCATACTAGTGTATACAATTAAACTCTTAACTAATGGAAAAGAAAACATTTTCCCAAAGTGATAAACAAAAGAAAAAGCAGACCATCTAATTTAATACTAAAACAAATTCAGCCAATATTTTTTTGCACAATACTCCATCCATATTAAGCCCTTCATTTTCAACACAGGAAAATTTTCAAAATCCTATTGTTAACTAGTCATATATTTCTTACTCTTTCTTGTCACAAGCTAAACCTATGATTTCTTATATCACAACTAAACCAATAATAATCAATAATATAATAGTCTGAAAGAGTTATTATCAAATATTTAGAAAGAAAACTTGTAGTTCTTGATTTTGCTTTTTATGTAAATTAAATATCTAATGGTCCAATAAAAAATACAAACCACTGTTTTTTATAAATGTAAAAGTGGAAGATACCATTTTAGAAAATCTTTAACTCAAATCAAGTGCATTTCACTCAAGAGCAGTCACATGAAGTATGACATACCTCAAATACATGTATGCATAGATACATACATATACATATATATGTTCATGCAATATATATCTGAAAAAGAAATTCTACTTGGAAGAATACCTTGGAAAAGCAAACCACATGAATTCTTGTTGTCTAGGATTATTTATATTGTGCCAAAAATGAAAGCACTCTTTAGGCTCCACGTTAGAGAAATTCCAAAGTACTACCATGGATCACATATGAGATTCAGAATAATTACATCCCTAAATATCTGGCTGAAACAACTTTTTTGTACTTCATATAACATACCTATGTAGCACCTGGTCCCTGGCTAAGTCACTCTTCTCTTCTAGGATTTCATCATCTGAATTTTGATTGTTATTTGCCTGTTCAGTTTGAGATGACTTTGATTTATCTGCTGTGTGGAAAACAGCATATATGAGCATATATTGAAAAAGGCAATTATGCAGGTAGCTATTACCTGAAGTAAAACAATTATTAAAAGAAAAATATCAGCGTTGCTTGATCTCACATTTCTTCTTTTAAAAATTGGGTACCAAACCTCCTAAAAGAAAGGAAAAGTCAGAGAAAATCATAGAAATAGAAAATTAAGCTAGAAAGGATGTGAAAACAGTGACATTTCCTGATGGATGCTTTGCAGCCATAGAGATCTCCAGTTGTAGAGAGGGAGCATTCCTGTAGGTAGAGTATTTCAGGCTTATCTATTCTAACAGAAGGTATTTTCCCAGTCTAATCTGAATATTCTTTAAGTAACTACTCCTTTTCACAGCAATGGGCAGATAGTCCACTGCATCAGAAGACAAGGTATTCTCTCTCTCTGAGTCTTCTCTAAATTTAAAAAACCCTTTAATTCATTAGAAATAAGTAAATTTTTATAGATTTCTGATTTAGTAATTGTTCTTTTGACTCTATCACCACATTATATCTTATGAAATAAATTGTTTGGATTTCTGAGATTATATAATGTATTGCATTTTCAAAGCATTGTGGCAACACAAGGTCTTTAAATTAATAAGAATTTCAAATGTCTGTACGTTTATCTTCATGACATTGTCAGCAGAAGCTCTCATCCTCCCTTCTACCTATACATAAAAGCAAAGGTAAATGGTGCTTTAGGTCAAGCCATGTGCCATCTACGTCCTGCAGTAAAATGGAAGTGCGGTGATAACTAAACTCCTTATAATTTGAACAATATGAGACATATTAATGAAAACAACTTATGTCACCAAGGTGAGTAAGGGCAATTAAAAATGTATGGTCTGGAAGTGAAACAGCCCTCAAAAAGCCTTTGATGCCTTTGCCTTTGTTGGCCAAAATTGACAATTTCTGATTGTTCACTGACTAACTGAAGACAAGACAAAGGCAGTAATCAATAGGGAATGAATGTCGGCACTCCAAAGGAATGAATGTGGGCATATCCCTTTGTTTATCATTTCCTTCATCCCTTTCCAAATGTGTCTCCTGGAGAAAAATGCTATTTATACATACTCATTTCTGCGTCTGTTGTAACTTGTGTTTTTTCCAGCTGCTGTTTTATGTGGTATCTAATACCAGGCACTGTGCTATCTCAGCTCCACTGAGAATTCAGTACAAATACAAACAAGCATATACACATGCACTTGCACACTTCTGATCTGCCTTTGACTGAAACAAATAAAAGTATTTGAAATAATTTGATGCATTTAAGGTGATAATGCACCATTAATGAAAATGATACTGTGAGATGTAGAGAAATCATGCACTAATGCTATTTTGCTCCAATAAATAAAACTTACAGGTACTTTTAGGGAGAAGAGAGCTATCAAGAAATCTAAAGAATTTCTAATTTCATAATTGTCAGAGGAAAATATAGATATTACATAATTTAGTATTTTTAATTAAAATATACAGCTTGCTATTATGTTGCAAAATAATAACAATTTAGTCATTTCAGTATTGTAACAACCTTTACATTCCCCATACATCAGAATCTGCTTGTCATTTTAGTTTGTTAAAAGTAGTTGGAAACTTACACTTCAAGTTAGCCACACGTTTCAGTACCACAGTGTCTGAAATATCCAATAATACACAAACATCAAATGCAGGTAAGATAACAGGAGGCTTGTTAGGGGCTCTGGGATCTGTAACAAGTGTGAGCTTTCCAGAATTTTCATCTTTTGCTTCTGGATCAATCCCTGTATAGGCTTTTTCAAATAGCTTTGCCTGATCAATTGTCATTGGAAACCCATCCACAATCCACCCCTTCTCTGGTGATGTTTGGCTAAAAGTAAATGAAGAACCAGAATTACACTGTGAATTGATAGCATAACCATAATACCCAAAGAAGAACTTCCCCTAGCAGTCTTTCATTCTGAATTCAGTATATTAAATATCCTGATGAATGCAGAATATGACAGACATAATTAAAACTTAAACTGTAAAGCAAGGGATTTAAAATCAGAAAAACAACATCGAGCCTAACTAGAAGTGAAAAAAAAACAAAACCAATTTTTACTGTCTTGGTAGTTTTCAAAACCACTCGCTATACAGTCTATGATCAGAGATATAATTTCACTATTTTTTATACTATTTTTTGCACTGAAGAAACAAATAGAAAAATCTGTTTCATGTCTTTAAAATATACTAATGGGAGTAAAATAACTTAAATAATTTTCATGTGAGAACTTAAGTGCAAATTGCACATCAGGGTAGTTGAGACAATTTTCTGTCAAACAAGAGTAGACAAAAAATAAGTAACCTAACTGTGAAAGTATGAATGCTTGGATTATACATTTCACAAAATCTAAAAGAAAAAATACTAGCACATGATGAATAGCTTCTAACCAATAAAATAGAGACATTAGTTTATTTAAAGTTTATGTGATAGTCATATGTGTATTTATACTTACTTTCAGTAGTGTTAAATAATGCCTGCATAATTTAGAGCTTGACTCTACTGCTAGCATTCTACTGATAGCATAAAATGAGCATTAACTAACTTCACTAATTAGCTCCACTTTCCATGTAGAAAAAATGTAGTGGTTAAAAAATACCTTAATAAAGAGAAATGGCTGAATCAGGACTACAAGCTGGATAATTACATTCTAAATAACTGAGGAAAAAAAGCTATACAATTTCATACTTAATGGCTTCCAATAGGATGTCAATTAGTAATTCATCAGGAATACTTTTTCCTTTCTTCAACAATTTCTGTGATGCGGCACCAAGCTGGGCACGTACAGATAGCTGTGGAAGAGCG